CGATTATTGCTAGTTGAAAACTTTACCCAATACCCCGCCTTGACGACTTGAAATATAGTCGGCAATGGCAATTTTTGACGGTCTCTATGGAGACTCATCTTCTGTTTAAAGTAAGATGTTGTTATTTAGTGGGTTACATGAGGTCAGTATAATTGTTTGAGTTGTGTATCATTAACGTCTATATCGTAATTTCCAGACGATGTTGCCATTTATGTTAGGGTACTATAAAGAAAGGACAGTGTGTTAATCTCACCTTTGCCTTCATATATTACTGAAGTCTTAAAAGAGAAAATATTGCACTGTAAGGTTGTATAACCAGAGCTTGAAACAAACGTTTTTTTTTTTTAAACTCAGTTTTACTTTTAAAATATATTAAAAATAAGATAATTGGCTTGTAAAATACAATCAGAGCTTGAAAGCTAAATAGAAATTTTTAAGGTCAGTTTTATTTAAAAAATATAGCCACTTATATTACCTTACTTAAACACAGACAGACTGCAGACAACAGCTTAATAGTCTGAATGGTCTGAATAGAGTGTGTGCGTTAGTGACCTGAGTGATGGGGTTTACTCAGACCATGGCTGGATAGTTTTTGCTGACATTTGCTGTATGTCTTTACTGTTAATGCTGGAAATCTTTTTCTTTTAGATATATTCATTGAGAACTCAAAACTCTGCTCTCTTGTAGTGACATACTGTAAATTCTTATACATGGATTTTTAATGCATTTTTAATCACCCTGTGTACAATGCAGTGAAGCTACCAGACCAGCAGGGGTCACTATATAGTTATGCTGAACTGGAGGATAACAAAAGCCTAAAGCAGAACTTGTAGTTGTTTGTATGTTTAAAGTCTTTAAACTAAAAGTCATCTATTTTTTAGCAGAAAAATGAAGAATTTATACATATGCTGTTAAAAAAAAGTTTTTCAAATTTGATGGTGATTGCCGTATCATGGTCCCTTGTGCTCGGTAGTTGCTTGTAATTGAGATTCTTTTTCTCAAGTGAAAGTGACATTTGCATAATCATGTTTCAGCACCCTGTAGAGACTTGTGATTGCAGTGATCTCTGATTAGAAGAAGGGTGGGTTTTAGTCAATCACAGGGGTGGAGGTTTTAATCAAGGCGGTGTTCTCGTTTGGCAGATGAGCTCCAAGCCACTCGTCAAGCCTGTAAACATTATTACACCCTTGTTGTCACGTGAAAGCACTTCCCTCTTTCCCTCCCCTTTCATACTGTAAGTACATGAAACTGTGATACATTCATTTTTCTAACACTGCTAAATTAGTGCAACATTGGCTGAGATTTGTAACTTGTGTCAGCAGCTTTGGTAATATGTAAAAAAAAATGCTTTAAGATGTTCGCAAATACATTTTCACTCACAGTACTGCAGTTTTATTATCAGCAATATTAAAAACAATGAAATACATTGACTCATTTTGATTTGTGTCTGAGCAATCATACGATTAGCCTGCATTTTATTTCTGTATCTTTAATTAATCAGATATGTTGTAATGTGATTTACGTAAGTTTGCTGCTTGTAGCGTTTCTATTTCCGTTAACCAGAGGGTGAAAAAAAAGAACGCTTTCAGACAAGTAATACATTTGTTTTTGTTCATCAAAGGTGACACTCTGGCTTTGAAGAGTGATTCGTATTTCCATTAATGACCCAAGTCGGCTTTTGCATTTAATCTGCATTCAGTGTGACCCATGAATAGTTTGCTTTTACTGTCTGTTGTACACATCCACCGAGCATTGATCAGCCGGTGCCATACTCAATATTCCTCGTGACCTGGTTATGGCCCTGTGTTTTCTAACTCTAAGAAGGTAATTATTCTCTCAGTGGAATAATGTCCGATAATATTTTTTGTATTATTTTTATTTTTGTCATTTATTGTAATCTCTCAAACTCTGACCTTTCCGATTTCATATAACAGCTCTGTATGTGTCAGAAATGAAATGGAAGACTTTGGGTTTTTTTCATGTTAGCGACAGCTGCAGACATGCCGAACATAAACAAATAAATTGCACAGCATCACAAGGACTAGTTCCTAGGTAACCATGTGACAGTACCGACAATTGCTATGGAAACCAGCGTATCCCCACTCTCGGTGTCTTTCTCTCCATCACCCCACCTCCAATGTATCTCTCGGGTCTTTCAGGAAATGTGTGAGAATCTTTTTTTTTTTCCCTGTGAATTGCTTTTACTTTCCAGGTTGGACAATGGCGTAGACTCGGTATCACATCACAGAAGGTAATTCCCCCTCATAGAGATGTAGCATAAATTCAGGTACACTTAAATACCACAGACTGTATACAAGGAGGGGGGAAAAAACATGTTTCATAATAAATTGAGTTGACAAAGCTTCCTAAAATATCAGACCTACTTTTCTATATTACCGTGCAATTAACTGCTCTGCTTTCATGTCTTTCTTTTAACTTATATGATACTGTAATTTGCACGAAGCACACTGCAAAGGAAGACATTTGTCAAGATCAGAGTAAACAAAAACTTGTTTTAATCATTTTCCTTAGATCTTTTGTTCAGCGGGCAATTTGCAATCTGCTTTGCATGAGGTCTTTTGTTTTGATCCTGTTTATCACAAATCCAGTTACAACTCCGTGCTCCAAATGGAAAATCAAGCTTCTCTTCAAAGACAGAGACATCACAGCCTATTCTATGTAAAAAAAAAAAAAAAAGCAGGTGCAAATCTAATAGAGATGCTTTGATTTGTGGCCAATTATGGACATCCTTGTTGCTTCACCTTTTTGCAAGGGCCCTTTTTCCTCGAAGCTACGTCCGCTATTCTTGGAAGAGAACCAGTAATGTAGCGATCGCACGAGTGAGCAGAAGCCTCAAAAGTTATCAAGTTATTCAACACACCCAATTAAACTTGTTACAATTCTCCAATGCCATTTCCCTCTTAATCGCTGCATGGCGTACAAGGGGTTGCCCCCAATTAGTTGCCTCATGTGACACCCTGACTCGGAAGACGGCTATTGTGATTGTATTTCAGCCTCAATTACGTTGAAAACTGTTCAGGCAGAGGTGAACGGTCTCCTCGGGTCTTTTATCTGCCTTTCTTTGTCCATCTTCTTTCGTTTGATTGTTACAGGGTGTCTAAGGGTAGTCCATCGTGTTTGGAACTGAACGAGTCTTTAGCTGTAACAATCGTATCCGTGTTTTGTAATCACGCCATTCTAAAGAGATAAAGAAGCTGTTTTTAACAACTGTATTTTTAAAATGTTTTAAAGATTTTCTTTCATCAAAATAGGTGTAGCATGATGTTAATGTTCCATGAATTTAATTTACAAATGTCTGAAATATATTTTTGGGGATGCAAATGTGCAGTAATTTTACTTAAACTCATTCAAAATGATTTTTGTACCTGATTGTCAGTGAACTTTGAGGTCATTTTAGTTATATGAGGAGTAAATGGTTATAAAAAGTCATTTAATAGCAGATAATTTGAGGTTACAGTCTTAATGGTTTTCCATCTTAGTTTTATAGCATAGCCAGTACATCACGAAACATATTCTGTAGCATTAAACTAACGATTAGTCCTTTTAGCGAGGATGAAGGTAATAATTATGGTTGTTACACTGTAGAAACATCATAATTGCAAAGGTGAACTGCATATTTTCTTTTCTTGTTTGTTTTTAGATGCTCTCTGTTTAGTTGCTTCATGGTTTCTTTATTCTTATTTTAGCTCATTGTTTCCCACCTTACCATGGTGGATAGGTTTGTGTGTCCCGTAAGTCTCCAAATGGAAATTGATCCTGGGTGAGGGGCCAGACGAAGAGTGATCCACGAAGTGGTTGCTGTCTGTCATGGTGGTAATCCCTGAACTGGATGGTGGACTGAAGAGAGAAGAGCTGAAGGAGCCCCATCGAGCTCTGTTAACTTGTGGGAATCAAGAGGCAGCTGACAGGTACAGGCAGGTTGAGTGGTGTGCAGCTCTGGCAGTAGCTGAAGCAAAGATTCAGGTGTGGGAGCAGTTAGGTGAGGTCACGTAACAAGA